ACTGGCGCCGGTCCTGACAACCCCCCACCCTGTGCGGCCCAGTGCCGGTCACGACGCCTTCCATGCTTGACCAGGAAGGCGCATGGGCATGCAGCGATCCTGGGCCCAGGCGGGCCTGGGCCAGGACCCAATCATCCGATGCCTTGTTATTTTCCATATGCGGTCAGCGGAAAGTTTGCCTTTATCCGTGTGGCTCGTTTTTGACTTCGAGGTGTGGCTTGTTGGTCTGGGGGGCCCTGCGATGTCACCCAGATGCTGGAAACGACAAAGCACAGCAGTCGCGTTCTTGTCCTGAGGGGCAACGATAGGGGGGAGTGGCAAAGGGGGGGACACATCGCCGATAGATCGGCGATAGGCCTCCGACAGTGAGTCCGCACCTTCCTGGGCAGGTTGGGGCTATGGGGCCCCTATCGGCGATCAGTGGGCGATTGGGGGTCGATGCACCCCCCTGTGCCCATCCCCCCCTATCGTTGCCCCTGATGTCCACACGTCGGGTGCCTGGGGGGCCGGCGCGGTGCACAGCTGGCGCCCTCCCATCGGCAGGGGGCACGGCGCGGCGTATGGCGCCGAGCCTCCCTGTGCCGCGGTGAGGCTCAGACTCTGCGCTGCCCCGGAGAGCGCCGGCGGCCTTGGGCCTGGGCGGCCGGAGCAGCTCGAATTCGCGGAGCAGGAGGCCTCCTGGCTGGGGTCGGAGCAGCTGGGGTCGGAGGATCGCGCCGCAGCGCCGACACATCGGCGATGCATCGCCGAGGCATCGGCCATGCACTGGCGACGTCGGCGATACATCCGCGACGTCCACGTGGAGAACTTTGGGCCCCACATCGGGCCGCATCGCCGATGCTTTGCCGATGCATCGGCGATGCGGCGCGATCCTCCGACCCCATCTGCTCCGACCCCATCCAGGAGGCCTAGACCGAGGGCGTGGGCAGATCTTGTCCGCGCCCGGTGCTCAGAGGCGGCCAGCGCAGCTGCCGCTTTCGCCACCGCATGAGCCGGAACGCCAGCGCTGGTCGGCCGTCCGTCGACGGCGGCCCAGCAAGCAGAGGCACCGTATCCCTCCTCCCCACATCCCTCCTCTCTATCCTCGGCCCCAGTGGCGGTCCATCGCGGACGGCACGGGGTGCTAGCAGCACACCGGGTGCTCACGGAATCCCCCAGACCCGGCACTTGGGCAAGGGACGAACGAGCTATCCGCGCGCTCCGACCTTTCTTGCTTTCTCACTCTCCATCCCCCTGCTCCCTCCTCTTCCTCCTCCTCCTCCTTCTCCTCCTCCTCCTCCTCCTCTTCCTCCTCCTCCTCCTCCTCCCCCTCCTCGTACTCCCCCTCCTCCTCCTCTTCCTCCTCCTCCTCCTCCTCCTCCAGAACAGACGACAAAGGGCAGTATCCCACATCTTGGATCGACTATTGCGAATCGCATGTTGCAGGAGGATTGCCCAAAAACAACTCGAGAAGTTAAAGCACACGCACGCCACTTGGGAGCACTGTGCTCCATGAAGGGGAACAACGGTGTCGATATTGAATTGCGTATAAAAAGAACGAGGTCAGGATGGGATGTCATGGGTCTGTTTTGGCACGAACGTGGACTACGTCGGCTTAAATGTGAATTGTTTCTGAGCACGGTGGTGGAAAAGGGCCTCACGGGCCTAGAGAAATGCGTACCTTCTAAATGTGAACATGCTAGATTGTCGTCGTACGCTATCTTCGTGTGTTCATGAAGGGCTCGGCTACTGATTGGTCGGGCTCCCATGCGGTCTCGATGAGCAACGGCGAGGAAATTCGGGATTGGCGAATCTTGCCGATCTCTGGTGGACTTGCTCTCAGGCGTGTTCGATGGCCGCAGAGCATGGTTCGCTACCCTACGGCCCACGAACAAACCATAGCTGAACTACGTGGACAGACATATTCTACATGAACACCAGATTTTACCGATACTGGTCAGATACGCGATACGGCCAATCCTTGGCTTCTCAAATTCAGGTGTGTTCTTGAATTATATCGTGACCTTAGTGGCACGGGGCGCTTCATTGAGATTTTGACCACCACGGATGATTCATGGGTTGAGCTATTTGATCACGATTCAAATTCAGCTCAGGAATTTCGGGCAGTCGATCCTAATATTCTTCGGGCGGCGGTCTTGATTAACGCTATCTTGTTTGACACGCTGTTTAATCCTACGCTTATTCACCGATAAGAAACACGATCTGAACAGTTTCAGAGTACTGTTCAAAATACTGCTGGTACCCCATGTGTCCTCGGGATTCGAACATTTCAAAAACTTATCGCACACCAGACATCACGTCGTGGGAATCGGTCGATCTTAAAATCTGGAACTATCACAAACCAATGCCCAAATTGCTTCCCGGTGTTCGTATGTGGCGAGTACGCAACACCTTCTTGAATGAGCATGCGCACAAGGGAGGTGGCAATTGGCAAGGGCACGCATGAACTGGGAATTGCAACTATCACATGAACTACAATGTGGACTTTGTAACATAGCTC